AATACTTTTTTTGAATTTTTTTTAAGCTTTATACTGACCAATTCACCCGATTCCCGATCCGGATCGCCGATTCGCCGATCCGGATCGGTTTTTTGGAAGCCCGATCCGGGTCACCGATCCGTTTTTTAAACCATTGTTTCTAACTAATCATCTGGACCTCAAAATGTATGGATATAAAAGAAAAATAATTTCAAAATTAAAAAATAATGCTTTTTGTAACAAGCTATCTTAAAATTATAGTTTAAAAATGTTTAATTATTTATGGATCTGCTTGATCTGTATGTATTTTAGAACTTTATACTTCATAATCAGGATTAAAAATGGTTTTGAAGTCATCATGGTGTCTCTTATACCGAAAGTATACACTCCAATAAATTTTAGAGTACCTCATACAAACCTTGGCCTTTGTAAAGATAATCTTGTTATGAATGTTTTTTTGTGTGTGTGCAGTCTTTGCAGGGCACACTTAATAAAAAATATTTATTAAAGTAAAATAATTTGATCAAAATACTTTGAACGTTACCTGGGCATTTTGGTTTTTATCTTAAATATATTCTTTTATTTTAATTAGGTGCCTCTTGCAAGAAGGGGATGCCTCAATCACCTTATGAGATTTGTAAAAGGAAGATTAATGATCAAACACTCAAATAATCTCGAGTCATTTGATCATATACTCATTCAGCTAACTTGTGATATTATGATAGGAGTTGTGCGGCAAGCCATTACAGGTTTCCTTTTTTGAGAAAGGCAAAAGATTTATTTCCATGGGAGCATATTATCTGTTTTCTTCCTCGAGTAAAACTTAAAGTACGAGTTATTTTCGGATATGAACCTCTTCAATCCATTGATTAAAAAAAATAATGTCTCATGATTGAATGTTGACTATTCAAGTTTTTGAGGGTAAGATCTAAGCGTTTTAAAATTTAAAATTCGATTTTGGTTTTGATAACGATCATGTAGTGATTCCTCACTAGTTCCCAAAATTTCAGATTAAAAAAAAAAAAACGTTCGGTCTTTTGCCCAAGGGAATACAGGGACATTATGCTCCTGCAGGGGCATGTTATACACCCCCTTTGCGGAAATAGGAGAGATTTGAAGTTTTTAATTGAGGAGTTTACTGGTGGTGGAAGCGTGTTGGTCAAACTCTGAACGTCGAATCCCGCAAGAGCTTCGTTACTGTTGTTCAAGGAAAAAGTATATCTGCAACACGTGTTTGATTACTGTTTACATAATAAGCATACATTATATTTAGGAAAATGTTCATGTAGGGTGTGTTTGACACATTGAGGTTTTGGGAGTGGACGGGGCTCTCCCACAAAATATAGAAGTTGGACTGAGAGGTTATCCAAAAATGAACCCATTTTAACATTAAAAAAAAGCTATATGGAAGTGGGACATTTAACTCCCACTTATAAAGCACGCCCGTATGGTTGCAACCTTAAAATGTATAATTAGTGTGTACCTGAAACATCCATCGTTAAAGGCTATTTTAAAGTTGAAAAACAATCTCATTGATCATATCGACATGGAGATGTATGAATATGAAAAAGAAAAAAAATAAGATTTTGAGTCTAAAAAATAGTTCATCTTGCAACACATTATCTGAATCATCTATTTTCAAGATTTTAATGTGTTTATAGACTTACTTGATTTGAATTATTTTTGGAATAAAAAATTTTAAAATTTGAGATGAAATAGATTTAAAGGTCATCTTAAGAATTTTGAACACCAAATTGCATCTTATGATAAAATTTGGTGTAGCACCTTACTTTGACTTCATTCCTACAAGTACATATAATTTCCCTAATATATTTTACTTGTATCTGTATGTAATGGTTACATGTATTCTGAGTACGTTTTGCATGGTTATATGTCAGTGAAGTCAGATATTTATAGTTTTGGGGTTTTACTATTGGAAATTGTTAACGGGAGAAAGAATTGTTTATTGGCGTTAGTTTTTCTTGAGAATTGTTTCCTTCCCCTGGTTTCTATGTTAATCTGCCTTGAGCTCACGTGGATGCTTTTTGGTTAAAGAGAGAGAGGAAATCAATATTGAAACCACTGGTTTTCAAGTTTATCAGATCTGATATGTGTGTTTTTTTAGAGAGTGAAAGAGAGGAGAGAGATGATACAGAGAGAGGAAATTTTACAATTTTGGGTTTTAGAGAGAGAAGTGGAAGTTTGAGAGAGAGATAGAAATAGGTGTTTTGGGAGAAACGTGAAAGGAAAACAGAAATGTTGAAGGCTTTATTTTAATTTTTGTTTGGGTAAAAAATTCATGATCAAAAGAAGTTGTTATTTTTGTTTTTGTTTCTATGTTAATTTTATCTTTTTGCTTACAACTAATATTTTCAATCTTTGAGCTTCAAGAGATACAGAAGTAAAAAATGGAGGATAAAGAGATATTTTTCCAAAAAAAAAGGTTTATCATAGTAATTGGACTAATTGTCGTACATATAATAATATTTCATTTCTAAAATTATTCATAGTAGATTTTTAAATTGTCATGAATTTAGTTTTCTATATAAAATTTCATCTATTAAAATAAAGTTTCTGCTTAGGAAAACGTGAAATTCGAAAAATATTTCATAAATTAAAATATAAATTATAGTATTATTTAGCATCCCTAAAATCCAATGTTCCGAAAAATAACCTAATTTGAACTTTACCCCACGGCGCATGAACATATTGTGATTTCTTATTTTCACATAAGGATATATAGGTTTGTGATGGAAAAATATGTTAATTCTATTATGGAATAAAATATAGTATTAATGGTTATTTATCAGGAAACATATATGGTATTTCACATAAGAATATATAGGTTTGTGCTTTTCTTTCATTTTTGAAATCCTCTAGTTTATGTTGAATTAGTTTTCTTTTCAAGGGTTACCTTCTTGAAACTCGTGGCGTAATTCTGGATGCACTAAAAGTTTTTGGCTTTATCTCTCTATTTCGTAAAAAATCTTAGAAATTTGTATTTAAAGCAATATCCTTTAAGGATAAGGAAATTTAGTACGAATAGAAAGCAATGATATAGCTTTAATTTTGAGCCTTTAATTTATTTTTGTCTATAAAGTGAGAATATCTCTCTTCTTTCCCCTCCCTCCTTCTCTCTCTTGAGGATTGCTTCCTAACTTTGTGATTTTTGCTTCTTTTTGTTTTTTTCTATTTTTAGAAGATCTACAAATAAAATCGAAATGAATCGGACCTCAAAAAAAAAGAAAAGAAAAGAAAAGATTTATTGTCTATCTCTCTTAAGAATTGCAAATAGACCTTTTAGACTTTTAGTAGTATATATTTGTTGATCTTCTTCCTCGGGTGAATATGTTCTATTATTATTCATTGAATGAAAAATCTTCGAGGTTTTTAAAAAATAATTTAACGAGTATCATTTGAAACGAAAAATATAAAATGAGACTATTTATTTTTGATACAAGGTGATCACAATTCATCTTGACCATTGCATGTAAAATTTGATGGCTGCATTTATTTCATTGACCAAACTCAAACTTCAAAAGAAATTTTTTCGAACTTTACATCACACCCAATCTGTCTGATTTCACATCAGATAGTTGTAAATTGTGACCTCATTGTATCAAAAGTAAATTGATATACAATCCCTTTTCAAAAAAATAAATTAAAAAAAATTTAAAGCCTTCACCAATATTAGAGATTATATATACGGATGCAAAATCCATCTAAAAAATAATTGATAGAGAGAGGACGCGTACCTACATATGTTAGGTACGAATGGGCCAAGTCATATAAACCGTGTCCATTGACAAAATCTTTTCTATCTATGAAAATGAAAATGAGTATGAAAGGCTTAAAACATGCAACGTATCTCGCATCCCTAGTAAAAGTCTATTTTGAAGGCTTCACTGTACGCCTAAGGCCATGATGGACCCAATAGCAATATCAACGAGACGAGGGGGGGCTTAATTGGTTGGCTCTTGATGATGATTCACAAAGCTAGGTCTTACCCTCAATATCTACAGTAACTGACTCAAGTCCGCATTAAAAAACGCAGCCAAGGTCTTCCGCGCAACCGCGTCAACACCAAAGACAATTCCTAATTACTCCCTCGCGAGTATACTGTTCATTTGTTCTCTCAAGTAAAACTCCAGTTAAGAATAGTTTTAGGACCCCAAATTCTGGAGATATAACCTTTCTAACACATGTAATAAAGCATGATTCTTAATTACACCATCTAAGTGCTTGAAAATAAATAATGTCTCAAAATTAAATGAAAAATGACTAATTTTGAGGGGGTGAAATCTGAGTGTTTGAAAACTCAAATTCTAATTTTTTTTTTTTTAAGAATAATCATCTAGTGATTATCAAGTGGTTGAATTTTAGTTTGAATAAAAAATATCCAAGTAGGTCATATAACCGTGGGAGTCGAAATAAACTTTATTCGAGGGAGCGTCGTATGCCTTATTCAAAGAAAAGACAGCAGTGAAAGAGAACTAGAATGAGGAAATAAATAACACAGAAATAAAGAGAGGAGAGAGAGATGGGTTTGATTGTGTTTACAACTCTCCTGTTTCTTGCACTTCTGCAATTCACTCTGCTCCTGCATATAGCAGAAGCAGAAGGAAATGAACTTTGTTTGGGCTCTACAAATTACACGGCAGGAAGCAAGTATGAGGAGAACCTGAATAGCGTCCTTCAATCCCTCCAAGCCATGGTCCCCATCGGGAGAGGCTTCAACCCAACCTCCTCTGGTGTGGGCGCTGACCAAGTAGTCTATGGCCTCGCCCAGTGCAGGGGTGACACCAACGACGCTGAGTGCAGAGACTGCATGAACACGTCCACAACTAATGCCCTGCGGCTATGTCCGAACTCGAAAGAGGCGACCTTTTGGTACGATCATTGCCTCCTTCGCTACTCTGATTCCAATTTCATCGGATCAATAGACCGGTTCCGTTACTACCTTAAGAATGTAAACAATGTATCTGATCGAGAGTCCTTTAACAAGGAACTTGGTGGCCTGATGAGAAACCTGACGTCAAGGGCCATCTCTGACCCGCTACTATTCGCATCTGGGACAACTTTGTATGATCATTTTGTTACGCTTTACGGGCTGTTGCAGTGCACAAGGGATCTCGACGCCTCGAGGTGCCAGAGCTGCCTTGAAGGCGCGATAGCGCTCATCCCGAATTTCGCCAGTGGTAATGTGGGAGCTCAAGTTTTGAGTGGGAGTTGTATGCTGCGGTATGAAACATATTCATTCTTCACACATTCCCCTCCACCTCCACCTCCACCGCCACCGCCACCGCAGGCAACACCAAACTCTCCGCCGCCCCAAAATCCCACCCCTCCAGGTAAGCCAAATACTCTCTCACTTAAAATGCCACCTCCTATGCTTCACAGTGATGAATATTGGAAGAAATTCCTAGTATAGACTATAGACGTAGCATATAAACCGTGCAGTATATGCAATTTAGACCGTCCAATGCCTGTGAATTACGGTGAGGATGAATCACATCTCCATTTATGCTGCCAATTGTGGAGAAAGAGTTCATCGCTACCGTCCATTGATGATAACAAGTTTGTGGATGCCCGTTATGGGGCAAAATGGATTATTTTCCACGCAACAATAGTGCTGGTTATACATTCAAACAAAACACAAAAAAGCGAGGTTTCTTTGACTAACATGGTTTTTATTTTGGAAAAATGATTCGATAGGGCTGCAGCCCTATCAAAATAAGGAAAGCCCCAACTCATAACTCATTCGAAATTCCAATTCACGTATTGGAAAACCTTTATATGGTTCATTTTGACTTGAATATTATGGTTGTGAAAAAAAAGAAAAAGAAAGATATTAAACTCTAAAAGTAGGACGTTTATTACAACAAATTATCTAAGACAATCTATTTCACCATAAAAAGTTAGGTCCACAAATCTTTGCATATTTTTAGTGTTGGAAATTGATTTTACAGCCCTCAAAAGAGATTTCTGATAATGCTGAAAGAGCTTTCCGAATGAGGATTTATTTTATTTTTATAAAGCCTAGGCCTTATAGAAACCTCATCTTGTTATTTAATGTATTTTCTAAACTTGGAAAACTTTCTAAGTGAACATATCAAACTCAATATGTATGGATACAAAAGATTTTTTTTTTTTCAAGTTTTAAAAATAATGTATCTTGTAACAAGTTATCTAGAAAGTATAGTTTCAAAATTTTTTTAAGTGTTTATAGATTTGCTTGATCCGCACCTATTTTGGAACTTTAAATTTCATAATTAGGATATAACATGAGTTTTCAAGCCATCGTGGTGTCGAAGGTTCACACACCTACAAATATTAGAGTATAGTATGAGGTGGGTACCTTATGCAAAACTCACCCTTTGTAAAGAAATTCTCGATATGAAGTTTTTTTGTCATGTCCATTCTTTGCAGGGCACACTTAATAGAAAAATATTTATAAAATAAAATAATTGATCAAAATACTTTGAATGTTATAATACTTTGAATATTATAGAGGGCATTTTGGTTTTTATATTAAACACATTCTTTCATTTTTATTACGTGCCTCTTGCAAGATTGGGTATGCTTCAGTAGCCTTTGAAATATGTAAAAAGAAGATTAAAACTCAAATACTCTTGAGTCAACCACCTCATGAGAAATATCTAGATGAAGAAGCAACTACGTGTTGCTTTCTGCAAAAATTTGTCAAAAATAAAAGAAAAGTGAAAAAGCAAAATGCACTATGAACCACATTACAAGTAAAAAAAATGGAATATATATATATATATATATATATATATATAATAGGATAATCTATAGCTCACAACTCTTTAAATTACAAAAAAGTGTATATATGTATGCATGTAGGACGGAATTTGGAAAATTTTGATTTACAGCTAAAAAAACTCAGAAAAAATTTAAAAAAGGAAAGCTACAGTGGAGCACATAATAATAAAAAATTAGAAATCATCATCAAAGAATCAAAATTATGTATAAAGTATATAAAAACATATTGATACATTGGTTCAATAAAAAAAAATTAAGACTTTTCATTTTTTTTGTATGTCTGAGTTTATACCCAGGAGACAGCATAGCAAGGTGCCAAGTCCGAGTAACTTTGCCGGAGTTCGATTCAACTCAATTGAGTTTAAACCCTTGGTCGAAACAAATTGTTCATCATGTCATAATATATTCTGTATTTTTATCTTTTGAAATTTGAGGTCGAACATTAAAAATTCTTGACATCCATTAGCATCCATATTTATCCTTAATTTTATTGATCCAGGAGTGGAAGACATTATATTCATATGTGATTAAGAATTTAGTACATGCCATGTATTTTAAAGCTTTTATCGTTATTAATAGATGAAGTATATCTCTTATAACTGTTGCTAGTTTTTCATTGAATGGTATGCATGACTAATCGACTGAACTGTGAACACGTCTAATTTGAAGCTCATATAATAATTCAAGTGTGAAACTGTTTCATTCTTGATGCAGATGGGAAGAAAAAATCACCCACTTTAAGAATTATCACCATGGCGACAGTTATCCCTAGTGCAGTTCTTCTACTGGCCATATGCCTGTTTTGTATATGTAGAAGAAAGACTAGACAGAAAGGTAGGCAGGTAGATTGGGTTAGTTCGTGTTAAGTGATTCGAAATCCTTTACTCTTAAGTTGATCTGAAGAGAGGAGTAACTCATGATGACTGCCATAGTTCTATTCATTATTTCTTTATAGGAAGGAATGATCTATTCATTATTTCTTTATTGTTGTTTGGTTTGATAGGAAGGAATGATCGAAACGATATATCACTGTTACTTAATGGAAAAGAGACTTCAAATGATGGGGACGGAAGAGAAAGAATCGGACATGGTGGAGTGGGAGGAGATGAGAATACTTTATTCCTCTTTCATTTAGATACCATTGTAGCTTGCACTAACAATTTTTCTGAAGAAAACAAGCTGGGAGAAGGAGGATATGGTCCTGTATACAAGGTAATTTGAGAAAGTCCTATTTTGGATTATCTAGTTTTGTGATGTTTATCAATAAAGAAAGGAAGATAATTCTTCACAGGGAAATTTGCAAGATGGGAAAATGGTTGCAGTAAAACGACTTTTAAGGAGTTCAGGACAGGGTGTAGAGGAGTTCAAGAATGAAATCATGTTGATTGCCAAGCTCCAACACAGGAATCTTGTGAAGCTCCTTGGATGTTGTTTAGAAAGACAAGAAAAACTTCTGGTTTATGAATACATGCCCAACAAGAGCCTTGACAAAATCCTATTTGGTTTGAATCCTTACTCTACATTGATTTCATGGTATTCACACACATTCACATATATGCATATGAAAGGAAAAACTTCATGTGAGGCCTTGGTTTTACATTATAAGTAAAGCCATACCTCAAATTTCATCGGAAATTGTAGTTTCGGTGCTAGAAAACTCAAAGTGATCATTCATACCTTGACAAAATTTTTTGAATTGAAGCCCTAAAAATAGTATTTTTTTTGTAGCAAATTATTTGGACCATTCATTTTCAAGTGTTCACATATCCATAAGATTTGCACTAGTTTTAGAGCTTCAAATTTCATAACTAACTATATTCGACATTGAGGTTTGAGGTACTGCTTTCCTTTTTTATCATAAGACCTGGGCCTTATGCTAACTGTGTCCTATATAGAATATTGAAATAAGCATAAACATGCTTGAGAGAGAGAGAGTATATGTTATTCACATGAAAATATTGAACAGATCCGGAAAAGCGCCTACAACTAGATTGGATGAAGCGCTTCAACATCATTATGGGAATTACCAAGGGGCTTCTTTATCTCCATGAAGACTCTCGACTAAGAATTATTCATCGCGATCTCAAAGCAGGCAATATTTTGCTGGATAATGACTTAAATCCTAAAATTTCAGACTTCGGAACAGCAAGACTCTTTGGACAGGATGAAACGCAAGCCAATACCACCATTATTGTTGGAACCTAGTAAGTAAGTAGTTCATTCCTTAGTTATATTAATTTTAGGCAAATGGTTCTCCATTGTCTGAATCTTACAAATAGGTGAAACCCAGCTTCATTTCATACTCTTCCCCCCCCCCCTCTCTCTCTCTCTCTCTCTCTCTCTCTCTCTCTCTCTCTCT